AATCAGATACACCAACTCCTAAAATGGCCACTTCTACTTCATTGCCTTCACCATTTGCATTACCTTCATCTACTTCAACGTATTTCTTCAAACCTTACAAGAATACCACTTCTGCAACTGCATCTCCTTTGGTCAATGAAAATCAACAAGATAGCTGCTCAACACCTGCAACTCCACAAGATGTCGACGAAGAACACTTATATATCCCTCAGTCATTAAAAGATGTGATTAATAGTGATTCTTCCATTGACTTTTATATCACCCCCACTTCACCTAAAGCTATGAAAGTTTCAAAATGGAAACAAAAGTATGGGAAATGGGAAATGCTCACCGTTAATGAAAATATCTTTTTGAAAATTGTTGCAAACTATGACTTGAATAAAAGCTGGTTGATTTTCTTCAAAGAAGAATATGATGAAGAATATGATGAAGTTATCGATAAGCCAATCATGTTGATGAATATTAATGAGGAGTCAAGCATAAGGCACTCTTCTGCTTTAGACTTACAAGTTAATTCGACTGATTCCATTAGTAACCAAAGTTTATTAATAATGATAAGATGCACTAATGGATCTTTTGCCAGCTCGATTTATTCAAACTATAAAAACATTCTCGGTGTTATCAAAAGTATACCCAAGAATAAGAGTGTTGCTCATAGTCTCGGTCTTAATGATTCAAACGTTACTAGCTCTTCGTCATTGATGGAAAAGCCAAGTAACTCATCTACATTTACTAGCTTGAACTCTTCCAATATTGGGAATGACTCTACTATTAAGCAACCGGCATTGAAATCAGATCCAATCTTGGGCAAAGAAATTTCATTTGCGTCATTGAACTCTGAAGATATCACCAATGCCAATATCATAAGTAACCCTGATAACTCTAAAATGTTATTATTGAATCAAATGACTGTCAGGTTGCAGAAACAATTGGATTCTTATTCAGCAATAAACATTCCCTCTTCTTGGGAAATTTTGTCTATGTTTTCGTTAAGCATATTCTTAATCAATGACAGTTTCACTCATAAGGCTTACTACAATTTAATACTCGAAAACAACAACATTGATAATGATGATCCAGCAATCGAAACATTCAATTGGTTGATTGGAGAAGACGAAAAATTCAATAGAATTGAAAGAATCGGTAAAGCTGGTTTATTAATCAAGGCTGGTAATGATGAGATCTTCATGATTGAATGCAAAGGCAAAAAGGAATTCAAGCATTTGTTTGAGATCTTCTAAGCATTCTAAACAAACTTTTATAGGCACTTTTTTGGCATTTCGTTTCTATTTATATGTATTATCTTTTAATTTTGTATTTGGTTGAACTATCTGTGTAAAGTGTTTTGAATTGCGAAACAAAAAAAATTCAAATAAAACTGATTTTGCAGCCACAAAAATCTTAAAGATATCAGAACAACTAAAGAAAGATGAATATGATGTTAGGATTCACGGTTTGTTTTTCCTTATTTTTGTTAAAGGTATGTGTCGGGCTAGATCTTGAAGATAAGTTGGCGTCTGCACCGGCAGACGCTAAGCTACCTATAATTGAGGTTAAAGGAAATAAATTTTTTGAAACCGGGTCAGGGTATCAGTTCTTCATCAAAGGAATCGCTTATCAGAAAAGAAGAGGCCCTGATGAAATATACGATAGAACCTTAGAAACTTTCTATATTGATTCCATGGCAAACCCCAAAACTTGTTTACGAGATTTGGAAAATTTTAAAGAACTTGGAGTTAATGTGGTTAGGGTTTACCAAATTGATCCTAATGCTAATCATGATATTTGTATGAATGAGTATGCAAAGGCTGGAATCTACGTTTTGGCCGATTTGTCAGAACCTGAACTATCAATTAATAGAGATAAGCCTAGTTGGGATGTTGAACTATTCGAACGTTATGCTTCTGTGGTTGACTCAATGCACTCTTATAGAAATGTTTTAGGGTTCTTTGCTGGTAATGAAGTTACAAACTCTAAAGTGAATACTGATGCTTCTCCGTTTGTCAAGGCTGCTGTTAGGGACGTGAAATATTATATTCAAAGTAAAAACTACAGGAAAATCCCAGTTGGATATGCCTCTAATGATGATGCAGAAATTAGAAAACTACTTTTCAACTATTTAACCTGCGCTAATGACAAACAACCCAGCTCTTCAAACAATAACGGGGTAGACTTTTTGGGGCTTAATATGTACGAATGGTGTGGTTATTCAAGCTATACCACCTCGGGCTACAGAGAAAGAACTATGGAATTCAGTGACTTCAGTGTTCCAATTTTCTTTAGTGAATACGGTTGTAATACCGTGTCACCTCGTCCTTTCACAGAAGTTGAAGCTTTATATGGAAGCACCATGTCAAAAGTATGGTCAGGTGGAATTGCTTACGAATACTTCGATAGTATTAATCACTATGGAATTGCCACAGAAGATAAAGATGGGGTTATTCATAAATCTGAAGATTACGAAATCTTAAAACAAAGGCTTAATTCGATCGAGCCTTTCAAGATCCACAAGCTGCAAATTGAAAAAGATATACCCAGGCCAAACTGCACAGACTCTGATCTGGGGTCACTTTGGAAGGCTTCGAAGGAAATACCACCAAGGCCGGATGTTGGAAAGTGTGAATGCTTACAATCCACATTATCATGTGTGGTTAGTCCCTTTCAGGACATGAAGCATGAACAGGAATTTTTGAATCAAATATGTTCTTCAATTGACTGTCATGAAATTGAAGCCGATGGTTCCCTTGGATTTTATGGAAGGTTTTCAGATTGCTCTACAAAGCAAAAATTATCGTTCGCTTTGAATAAAAACTATATTCATCATCATAGAAAAAGTGAATTCTGTGATTTTGACGGACAAGCAGTTTTGATCACGAATAGTGACAAGTTGGATTTGAAAAACATCTTTGCTAGAGATGGTAGAACTTGCCAAGATGCTATCGGAGAAGGTTCTGACGAAAGTGATAAGAAGTACGAACAGTATGTTAATAAGAAAGGTAATAACGGCACAATGCATTATCATTCGCCCATACAAAGAACAAATGAAAAGGAAATGAAGAAACAATCAAAGTCTGGAGGTGGGAAATTGACTACTGGGTTAATACAATATCTTATATTAATGATATCTTTTATATACAACTTTCATTAGACGTTAGATTATATAAATAAATTTTACATGAATTAGTTATCTTTTTTAGGACCCCATTTAAGACCTAAAAATCCATTATTTCCGTGTTCATTGTGTAATAAACCTTGATATTTAGGTTCTATTATGTAGATTCTTCTTTGTCTTGGGATATCTAATGCAATATAAGAAAATTCTGAACTCCAGAAAGAAGTATCAACTTGTTCGAGAGTGACTGATCCATGCTTCCCACTATCAGTTTCAACATGAAATTTCATATAAAGACGATCATTGCCATCTTTACCTTTCGATCTCACACTTTGAACTGGTCTGTTACGGACCCATCTGTCACCAGGTACTTCACCATAAGCTTTAACTCTTTCACCCGATTTGAAATCTAATGCCTTTTGGGCCAATTCATTTTGTTCGAGAAGCTTAACTGCCTTGTTGAAAGTTTTGGTATCACCGGAAGGTAAGAATAATTCTGATAAAATAAGATAAATAACCAATAAAGATACCCCAAAAGCACCTAATACAAGGGCTGATGATAATGAAAAGGTGAAAAATCTGGAGATTCTGTTGAGGATAAGTTTACCCTTTGCATTTTTGTCGGATGGCTCCGATGGCGGTGGAGGTGGAGGTGGAGGTGCAGTTTTGGTGGAGTATAATCTGTGAACTTTATTTGAAAAGTCAATTGAAGTTGGTCTCATAAAGGTTTGAGGTTTCACTAATGAATTGAGTACCAAAGATCTTGCTGAGATGAGCGAAATTGGCTTGACTGCTCTTAAAGCTGGCCTTGATAAGACCAAGCCTTGGGCTATTCTGGATTGCAACATCGGCGAATGCTTGTAATATCAACTAGGAATGGTTTTTCAAGCATTAAAAAGTCTTCAATCTTTTTTTCTTTTCGAGTTTTTTTCATTTGCCAACTTTTTCGAAGGTGCACGCTATTCTTTTTTTTTTGCAATTATTCAAAAGGCTACGAATCTGTTTGCAATGCTTTGAACAGATTGGTTTGGAGTGATGGCCATGTAGTTGGGGGTTAGTGTAGTGGGTATGTTCTTTTGAAAGAGTACTACAAAAAACTAGAAGGAATATACTCAATTTTTGCAATTTTTGCAACAAATATGAGCCAAAAATTGATATCATCAGTGTTCGATTTGAAGGAGATTATCCAGTTTAAATTTGGAATGACAGTAGGAGATAAACCAAGTTGTTACATCGAGTTATCATATATAGAGCAAGGCTCCTGAAATCGAAGTATTGAGGAACATATTTTAAGCTATTGAATATTCATCATTGCAAAAAAATACGATCTTGAAAAGCCTCTGCGATTTAGGAATTCAGCATTTTATGATAATATTGGCTAAGACTTCTGCAGAATTAAGAGCGGGAATAGTAGGTTGGTGCTTTTAAGATTTCAAAAAATAACCTATGGCAAGGATACAACGTAGACTAGTGAAATCAGTTGGAAATGTGCTCAAATCTTTGGCAGTCATCGGACTACTCCATTCTTTGGACAAAGTATACTTAAACCACCACCCGGCTAACTCTTCTAAGTAGATGTTTCCGTGGTTTGTTCATGTGACGGTGTTCTTTTCTCCAGCATTGTTGTATGTTCAATAACGAATTATACACAAACAGCTTTTTCAAACCGAAAAAGTGCTCCAGAGCATATGAGTTGATTCCCCGAGCACCTGAGTACACAATTGAGTTCACAACAAGCCATTTAAAGGGCTTTCCAAGCTATATGAATTCTAACCCCTACTCAACAAATACCAGTCACCACGTTTCAACCTCGGTAACAGGCGGATGTTTAACCTCACTTGGCCTGGTGGCCGCCGCGCTGCCAGCTCAGGTGGAGGGTTCGAATCGCGTCCCCGTGGCCTAATTGGTTAAGGTGTCCACCTCCGGTATTTTCCTGATTCAAACTCAAATTTGTTTTAGAGAGTTTAGTGGATGATTGCGGGTTCGAGTCCCGCCGGGGACTTTTCTTTTTTTGCCGGTTGGAAACTTTCCCTTTTCTAAAAATCAGCAGCAAATTTTAAAGTATTGAAATAGAAAAAGTGTCACGTGCGTGGTACCTCATTTGAGGGCAAGTGCCCTAACACTGGCAATTTTTCCAATTCGCACAGAAAATTTTTTTGTTAGCGTTTTTTTCTTTTTTTTTTTTACTTTTGTTAGCGTTTTTTTTTTTTTCATCTCAGTCTTTGAGTTTTGGGTATTGAAAAAAAAATTCTCTTCATTTAATAGATTTTTACTCTCTTTTAGTTCTGTTCTATTCAACCTTATACAACCATAGACAAAATGGCCAAGATCAGTCAAGGTAATTATTGAATTCCAGGAGTGTGATGTCCGTTGATACTGAATTAAAGAATGTCAGGAGCTGAGACGATTAATCCGAGTATACTATAAGAAGTTATTATAAGGAAGTTAGTACGAAGTTACTACGAAGTTATTGAAAGAAGTAAAGAAAGAAGGAAGCAAGTACAGAAGGGATGTGGTGGACATGAATGATTCAGTATAATTGGGGATATCACTAATATTAAGAAATATATACTAACTATTGATATAGACGTTTCATCTTCTAGATCCAAAGCTAGAAAAGCTTACTTCACCTCTTCATCAGTTGAAAGAAGAGCTTTATTATCTGCTCCTTTATCCAAAGAATTAAGAGCTCAATACAACATCAAATCTATCCCAATCAGAAAAGGTGATGAAGTTACCGTTGTCAGAGGTTCTAAAAAAGGTTCTGAAGGTAAAATTTCTTCTGTTTACAGATTAAAATTTGCTGTTCAAATCGAAAAATTACAAAAAGAAAAATCTAACGGTGCCTCCATCCCAATTAACATCCATCCATCTAAAGTTGTTGTCAACAAATTACACTTAGATAAAGATAGAAAAGCTTTAATTGAAAGAAAAGGTGGTAAATTAGAATAATTTAATTGATTATATAAGGTTGTTAATTTACTAGTTTTCTGTATATCATAATAAATATTGTACTCTAATCGACAGGATATTAAGCTCTTAGTGTCATTTAAATGTAGTTGTTGAATTGCATACATTTCTTCTTAGTCTCAGTATATAGCAAAAGAGAAGAAAAAAGATCCAATCATCTCAAATCGGCAAGTCTCTGGGGAAATTTTAAAGCAAATCTAATCAAAGCTGTCAATTTATAAGCCAAATACTTATCAATACACACAGAATGTCCCAAACATTTGATTCGGATGACGATTGTGAAATCGTCAATGGGTTTGGTTCGGCTTTATTAGAAAGAAATCCTTCAAATTCTGGTAAAAGAACCAAAAAAAGATGGTCATTTCATAATAATTCAAAACCAAATTTAGGTTAATTTACCCCTGGAAGCTTCAAGAACAAGACGGTTAAGTGATATAACTGGCACCGACGGGGTCCACAAAGAAATTGATCCGTATCATATTAGTCCAGCACAACTTTATCTGACAGAATCAGGAAGGTTATTTCATGCCGGGAAGATTTGTATCTGTTTAGCCGGATTACCAGGTCGAGGTAAAACCCATTTATCAGTTAGTTTAACCCGTTATTTAAGATGGTTAGGAGTTAAAACCCATTCTTTTCATTTAGGTGATTATCGTCGAGCAAGGTCCAGTGATTTGGATTTAACCCACGAATTATTTACACCTCAATCAAATGATTTTAGAACTGAAATTGTTGATGAATGTTTAAACGATATCTTAAATTTTTTCAAAAATGATAAGGGACAAGTTGCTATTTATGATGCTGTTAATGCATTACCTGAATATAGATTAGATTTACATAAAAAATTTAATGATTTGAATATTCAAACTCTATTTATTGAATCCTTGGTTACTGATGATTCAATTATTTTGAAAAATATGGAAGAAGCAGCAAGATCTTCTCCTGATTATTTAAATTGGGATTATGAATCTGCTTATAAAGATTATCAAGAACGTATTAGTTTTTTAACTCCTTATTATACTGAAATGAATCAAACTGATAATAATAATAAATTATCTTATATTAAATTTATTAATTTTGGTGAAAGAATCGAATTGAATAATTCAAATTATGGTTACCTTATTAATAAAGTTGTTTTCTTTCTAATGAATTCAAGAATTAAACTGGGATCAGTATTTTTCGCTCGTTGTTATAAAAATGATTTAGAATATGGTCAGGATCCTCCTTTAGATGAAGATGGAATTAATTATGCTAAAAACTTAACAAACTCTTTAATGAATTATTTAAATTCTCAAGGTAAAGATTATTTTGATCCAGAAAAAGTGAAGGCAAGAAGTCTAAGTGTTAGACCTCAAAATAAAAGACAATTGACAATTGATGATAAACATCCAACGGCTGGCGTAGATGGCGTTGATGAAGACTCTTTTGTTGTTTGGACTTCGGTTAAAAAGAGAACCGTTGAAACTACTCAATTTCTAGCTAATCAAAATATTAATATTAGACATCGTATTCAATTACTGCAAAAAAATCCCGGTATTGTTGGTCAAATGACTGATGATGAAATAAAAGAGAAATATCCAACCGAATTTGAACAGTTTTTAAAAGATCCTTACCATCATCGATTCTCTAGAGCTGAACTGTACCACGATTTAGCCATCAAAATTGAACCCTTGATTCTAGAAATGGAACGAATGAGTGGGGATATCCTAATCATTGCCGATGATACTGTTTTAAAAGTTTTCTATGGCTATTTAATGGCTTGTTCTTGCTATGATATTCCTCTGTTACTGTTTTCAACCGATGAAATCATCGAAATTAAATTCAACGCCTACTCCAATTCGGCTAAAAGAATCCCAATAATCAAGCAAGAATAACCTCTTCTCTAATTTTACTCCCGCTTCTATATATTGATTCCAGTCTTTAAATCTATTCAATCTTTAATTTTGCATCCGTAGTCTCTTCGTTTGCACCCGTACCTACATTCTCACACCAAAGGGCCTTTTTTGCTCTCGTTACTAAAACACCATTAACTACTCTATAAAGCCAGACTATAATGACATTAATACCGAAAGCAACGTATGCTGCACCAGACTTAACCCGGGAGTTTGTGCCGGGGCCAGGCCCACACTCAACAAATGGGAAAACAACCCAAATATCCGACATTGTGATCAAGGCTGGAGGAGAAGATCGAGATAGACCAAGTGATGCCAAAGACTCTGAATTAGGTGAGTTAAGAGCACAACTAACGACATTACAAGATCATATAAACATCTTTTTAACCGAGCGAATGGAAATAGATAAAAACAAAGCAAAAGAAAATGAGGATTTGGAAAGACGTATCCTAGACGATGGTGTAGATGAAGATGATAGTGATTAGATATATATAAATGTATATTAAATATATTAAATATAGAATGATTTATGGTACAAGTAAACTATTTCTTTCCAACTAACTGAGTCATGTTTGTTATAGTATTATCTAAAGTAGTTTGTAAATAATGCTGTTTAGTCTTTAAGTTCTTTTGGGTATCCAAAAACTCTTTTTCGTCCCCTTGAATGGTCTTTATATATGATCCCACGTCATTCTTCACAAACGCTTTCCCGATCCCTTGCCAAACAGGATCAGTATCTGAATTAGTTAATTTTTTCAAATTGGTTGAAGTATGCTTAATAAGGTTTAAATTGGTATTAATTCTGTCCAATTGCAAATTGCACATATTTAACTCGGCCTTGGACTTGTTAAGCTGGTTGTCCATTTCCATTAGTAGCTTCTGCAAAGCCTCTGGGTTCACTGACATCTTGTTATGCTTTCTATTCGGTGTTGGCTGGCAAACTGGGTGAATAAATCGTTGATTCAAATCGACGAATAAACTGAAAAAAACTGAAAACGAATATCCTTTAAGAAAACACCCACACACCAGCACATTAAATTTTTCACTTTTTTCTTTTATTCAATAACTTATTAATACAACTTTATACTTTCAGTAATACTAGTCAAGTATTGAGTATGTTGAGATTTGGAAGAGTGGGTGGAATACCCAGAGTGTTCAATGTCACGGTGAGATCCTTTGTGTACACCTCTCGAGTTCTTGCTACTGATGGTTCTATGAATGCCTTTATTCCAAAAATGAAGACTCCTGGTGAACTGAGTTTTGTTGAAAACAATATACCTTCTGAAACCAATAGATTGTCTAAAAGTATGACCAAGTTCTGGGAAACGGTTGATACCGAGTATAACGAAGCAACTAAGCAATATGACGTTAAACTCGATGGTAAAACTTTGAAAACACCATTGGGATTCCCACTTTCATTACCGGAATCCAAGAAAGAAATGGCGTACTTGATTGGTCATGAATGGGCCAATTTACCAGATTTAAAGATCAAGACCAACTCCTTACCATTAACGTCCATCACCGCCAGGGCCATTGATTTAATGAGTATCAATAAAGATGGTGAACCAAATAACGAATTGATTTCAAAAGTGGGTAAGTTGGAAGATATTAAATTGAATTTATTAAGATATTTTGATACCGATACTTGTTTGATCTTCACTACTTTAGATGAATACGATGGGAAATTGAGATCAAGACAAAATGAATTATACTTACCTCTTATTGAAGAATTTGAAGACTTTTTCACCAAATACGCTCAATCCAATGAACCCCAGAAATTATTACCTTCTTCTGATTACAAAGTCAAATTGAACTATCTTGATTGTGAAACCGATGGATTGAGAGGTAATACCCAAGCAATCACCACCCAGAACATTGTTCTTCACTGGTTAAACCAATTGCCAATTTATGATTTGGTGGCTTTGGAAAAGGCCATTTTAACCTCTAAATCCTTCTTATGTGGTATTTCACTTCTCAGATCAAATGCAACCAACCCAGACAATGTTAAAAACTTATATCAACTCAATAAATCTCATCCAAACAGTCATTATTTCAAATCAATCGACGAAATCATCGAATTGGGTAACTTGGAATCGATTTTCCAAACGGAGGAATGGGGTGAAGTTGAAGACACCCACGA